ATTGATCACCTATGGTGCCCCCTCCGAGCTCAAGATAGAAATACCAACCAGGAGAAGATTTAAAACCTTATTAGAGCTGGCTTTTTCCTTCTTCCCCTTTTCCTTCTTCCTTTCTCCTTTCCATCTTCCCTTCCTTTTCTCTTTTCTTTCCTCTTTTTCGTTTCCTTTTCCCTTCTTCCCTTTCTTTTCCCACCCCCATCCTTATCCTATCCTCATCCACAGCAACATGGACTAGTCACATAGCCAGCCTACCCCAAAAGAGGCCGGATCCGTGTCCCGATTATCAACCAGGTTTCTGGGCAGCTCCCTTGAGGTCGCCCCGTCTTCGTCCGGCAGCTTCCGAACCGCGTAGCCCAACCGGATCAGCTCCTCTCCCACATCGACAAACTGGGGGAACAGAAGCTTCCGGGCTGAAAAACCGGCCCTCGGGTGGGCCAAATCTCACCCCCAAAAGCCGTTTCCGTTTTCCCCTTAAGCCAGGATTGGTCCCTCACCTGCCCGTCGGTGGGCTTGAACAGCCGGACGCACGGACGCACGCTGTCCCCCACGGACACATAGGTGCAGATCTTGCAGAACACCAATTTCCACTGGGCGCAGTGGGTCAGGCGGTCGAATTCATCCAGGGCAGCCTCTTCCCAATGTGGCCCTATTTGCAGGAAGTCGAGGCCCGGGCGTTGAACGCGGGATTAAACTTCTGTCAAAGGTTCCTGCCACCCTCGGGAACGGCTCCCAGAATTCCCCCAGCCAGCAAGGAAGCTGTTAGAAATGGGTGGACTTCAGCTCCCAGAATCCCCCAGAAAGGAAGAAAATGGAGAGACTCACCAGTTGGGGCCACACCGGCCAAGCTGCACTCGATGGCCTGGAAAGGGAGGCCTAGGAAATCACCCCTTCGCCCCCAAAAAAAAAAAACAAAAAAAAAGGGGGGGGGGGGAGGGGAAAGGAGGTTAAAAGGAGGAGCAGGAGAGGCCAATCCCGGCCACCCCATCCCAATAGTTCTCGTCCCAATATTCCATCCCTCGTTTTCGGTTTCCAAGCTGCTGCACTGCTCTTTCAAACCCCTTCCCCCCCCCCCCCCTGTTGGCAACTCGAAAAATAGCCTAGAAATATTTTACGAGTTGACATTGCCCTGGCGAGCGGCGGTTTGCTCCGGCAGGACGAGCCCAGCTGACGTCCCTCCAAGACTGTCTAAACCCCGACAAACTCCCAACTTCTTGCTCACGGCCACGGCCACCGAGAATCCAGGACCCCAATTTCCCGATCCCCAAGTTGGAGGGACGACACCCCCGGTCCGCCCCTCACCGCAACAGCCGCAGCTTCTCCAGAGGCGCCTCCCCGGTGTCCCCGAAATCCACGTAATAAATATCCAGGTTGCCATTGTCCATGGTTCCCAGGATCTCGGCCCGATACCAGGAATGGTCTTCGGGGTAGTAGGCGGCTACGATGTCCCCCACCTGCACGCTTTCCAGCTGGAGGGGCGAGAGAGAGAGAGAGGATAGGGGTAAATGCCTGGGGTGTGTGTGTGTATGGAGGGGCAGGATGGAAAGCTACACGGCCTGAGTAGATATTGAGAACAATAGTTACAACTATTGTATGTATAAGATTTATTATCGGAAATGTCAGCAAGAAAGGGGCACATCCTATCATGCATGGTAGTCTTGCAAAAAATCCCAGTGTCACCTCATAAAATATTTCCATGGTCCTTTTAGAGTTGCCAGCAGAAAGGGAGGTGGGAGTAGTGCAGCTGCTTGCAAACTGAAACTGCATTCCATGTTTTCAAAGATAGTAATTAGTAATTATGTTTTCATAGTCATAATGTACACTGAAGACGGTATTTAATTTCGTTGTATGAGATGCAAGGACAACAAAGTAAACTAAACTATAAAAAATATTTGGGGGGGAAAAAAAACAAAATTACACAGCCTTCCCGTGTTGTCCCTCACCTCGCCATTGTTGGTCTCGTAGTATTGTGTCATGTCCCGGACGAGTTTGTCCAGGGACAGAGCTTTTGTGTTGATAATCTGGATCCAGAAGTGGCTGGGATTCTCCGAGGCCGAGACGTAGACCTCCAGGTGGTCTTTTGGGCGGATGTTGAAACCCGGGCTGGAGGCTTTGAGAGGCAAGGCAGGTGGGTTAGGGGAGGGGTGGACTTACCTGTATGGCGAAAGGCAGGGGGGGGGGGGTTGGGGCAGGGGGGGCGCCAAGCTTTTGGACCTCAGGGACCACCAAACTCCTAATTTCAAATCCCGCGGACCACTAATAGGAACCCAGAATGCCGCTCGCGGAAGCGCCTGGACTCCCAAAGGATGGGGTCCTTCAGGCACTTAGCTTGGCTGCCTGTTTCTGCAACCTTGAATACTCAGTCACTTGGACCCGTTTCCCACAGAAAGCAAGACACCAGGATCTCATGTGACTGGGTGGACGTGGCTCGGTGGTCATGTGATTGGCTGGGTGTGGCCAACTCAACATCACTCACATCGAGGCCCGCATCTCCTCGCCTGGCCTCTCATGACCGTGGGGATGCTGCAACAGTCGTAAGTGTGAAAAATGGTCATAAGTCACTTTTTTCAGGGCCATTGTAACTTTGAATGGTCACTTCACACTAGCAAAGTACCAGCAAAGGAGGGGGAAAAAAACTCCAGAGACATTCCTGAGACAGGAAGTCTAGTCCTGCCAAGAATGTTAATAAGGGTTAACGGAGAGGCAGTTTCTGTAAGCAACACCAGAATGTTTCCTTCCTGCCTTACGGGATTAGCCCAGTAATTTCTTCTGACAACCGGTTCTCCGAACTGCTTAAAACGTTAACAACCGGTTCTAGCAAATAGGTGTGAACTGGTAGAATCCCACCCCTGCCACTGGGCGTGTGTGAGCGCTTCTGGCGAGGAGGAAGAGAAAGAAGCGTGGTAGGAGGAGGCTTGGCGGCTGGCCAGAGGGGCGGCAAGCACCAGGGAACAATGCCGCAATCTCATAATCACAACCGTCATAAATACGAGTCCGTGGCCAAGCATCTGAATTTCAATTGCGTGATCCTGGGGGAGGCCGCCGCGGTTGTGTGGAAAACGGCCGCAAGCCGCTTTTTTGAGGGCCACGGTTAACTTCCAACAGTCCCTAAGTGAACGGACGTTATCGAGCTACGAGACCCAGCCCAATCCTCCATGTCCCGACCCAGTCTACCCTCAATTTTGTTGCTCACCTTCAAAGGCGGACATCGGCGCGGGCTGACTTGGGGACTCTGCTCCGCTCGACTCTGGGGGATCCCCCAAGCGGTAATCCAGCAGCCCGTCGCTCGCCTCTCGGCGGAGGTACCCAAGATCTGGCATCTGACTGCAAGGTTCTACGCACGAGTAAGGCTGCACTCCTGGTTCACCAGCCGCTGCTGCCGCCTCCTCCTCCTTCCGGGTGCCCAGCGGTTGTTTGCGGTGCGAACGAGCCAACACCAACTGCAACAACTTACTGTGGACAGCGTCGTCCGACAGTTTCTCGCGGATCAATTCCTGCCGGCAGAAGATGGGTCAGGGGCAGTTGTCTGCTCCGAAGCCCCCTGTCCTTTGCGCCCCTCTCAACTTCCGTTCTCCATTGGCCCTGGATTCCCTCCAGCCGGGCCACCTCCGCCCTGGCGACGGGAAAGGCATCCGGCCATTAAAACACTCTGCTAGCTCCATTCAGTTGCCCGGACTCCACCCCAGCAAGGGATTATGGGAATCGTTAAAAAGAAGAAAAGTCAGAAAATGGGGCCACTTTTAACCAATGTCTCCCTTAGCAACACAAATTTCAGGCTCCATTTTGTGGCTGTGGGTTGAGATCCGCTGGCTCAAGGCCCAGATCCCGCACACGGTTGAGGAAACCCAGCCCAGTTAAGCTCTCACCTTGGCGGCCTGGACCTCCTTGCGAGTCCCGGAGAGGCTGACGACGCGGGTGAGCGACAGGGCCCCCTCCGTTTCGCGGTCACAGTCGATCTTGGCCCCAGTGCTCTGGCATATGGCCCTCACGGTCTCGCCACCTTTCCCTGGAGGAGGAAGAGCGACAGCAGCCGTGAGGGACGAAGAAAGGGAGTCGAGCGCCTGGGGGAAAAAAAAAACCCTTCCGTGGGATCCGTGGAGCTGGGTTGGTCTTCCGGGCAGACGTTTCACGACCCGACTAGGGAACGTCATCAGTGCTAAAAGGCAGTAGGATTTGCAAGGATGAGAAAACGGCTGGGTTCCCGGCAAGACGTTTCATTACCAAACTAGGCAACGTCATCCGTGCTACGCCCCCTCCTCTTCCAAATCCCAACTCTCCATTGCCAGCTTCCCAAAACGAGACAAAAATCAGCCTTCCGTAGAAGCCCAGCCACAGCATCAGGGTCTCCAGGGTGGGGCGGCTAAAGACCACCAACCCTTGCGGCCCCCTCCCCACTAGGAAAGCTTTCAAGGGCTCCGAGGGAGAGGTACCAATGATGCGGCCAATGGCCCGACTGGGCACGGAGATCTTCTCCACCACGGGCAGGCTCTCCTCCAGGATCTGGTGGATGGCGGCTTTGGCCTTGCACACCTGCACAGGAGTGCCCGAGATCCGGATCAGCCGCTCCACACCGGATTCCTCCAGGTCCACATTAATGCGGGCGTGAGTGTCCTTCCGCAGCTGCGAGGAGGGAGGAGGAAGAAGAGGGGACGGAAATAATTGGGGGCGGGGGGGCTCATCCAGCTTCCGGGATTCTCTTGCAAAAAGGAGGGAGGGGGTGTCCACCCACCGGCCCTCTCCCCTTTGTTAAGGTATTGAGATTTAAGAGCTGACCAGCTGTAAAGCTGATGCGATGTAAGGCCAATGCAACGAGGATGAATTCCACCATAGCATGGGTATTGCCCTTTTAAGACGAAGAATGGGTCCACAGAAGTCATGACCTCTTTAAGAGGCGTCTATAGAAAGGTAGCCAATTGGAGGGTGTGTTTCTCTCTCCTTGTGTCCTGTCTTCATGGTAGAGTTCTCAGTGCAGAGTTAAGAAGAGTGATCGCTTCTCAGGTATTTTGCCTACCATGTATATTTCTGTATATGTGTTGTGTATAAACCATTGTGAAATGTCTAAGGTTGTGTGTGCTGTGTTTTGCTCCTGGGTTGTCTCATAATAGTAGCCACGCTGCAAACGCTCCGACACCCTTCCTCCACTTGCCTGGTTCACCTTGGTCCCCTGCCGCCCGAGAAGGTACTTCACTGCCTCCTGGGGCACCTTCAGGACAAATTCCATTTCTTCCTCGCCCACGAAAGTGACGCGCTCCTCTGGGGAAGGAAGAAACGAAAGCTGAAGACCTGGAGATATCCCCCTTCCCCACTTTTGGAGGTACCTAAACCTCCTAAAGAACAAAGGGTGTAAAAAAGCCCCCCTCACACTACCTGACTCTGTTGTTACATCCTCTAACCCCCCCCCCCCCGCAATTCCTTTAACCTCAAATTATCCACTATTGACCTCACCCCATTCCTGCATAAGTGCACCATCATGCCTACCGTCCCTGTCCTATTGTCCCCATTGATTCGTACCTATTTCCTGCATTTTGATTCATGTTTATGCTTATACCTATTACCTTGTAAGCGACTGACAAATCAAATAAAAAAATAAAAGGAAGGAAAGAAGGAAAGGGGAAGGAGAACAGGGAAGGGGAAGGAAAGGAGGAGAGAAAAGAAGGGAGGGAGTGGGAGGAAGGAAGGAAAGAGAACAGGGAAGGGGAAGGAAGAAGACAAAAGAATGGAGGGAGAGGAAAAAAGGGAGGGAGGAGGAAGGAAGGAAAGGAGAGAATTCCCATTCCTAAGAGGTCTGTAAGGGGCGTGCATAAGTGCACCATCGTGGCTACTGTCCCTGTCCTATTGTCCCCATTTATTCCTACCTATTTCCTGTATTCTTACTCATGTTTATTCTTATACCTATTGTCTTGTAAGCGACGGACAAATCAAATAAATAAAATGAATAAAGTTTCTAGCCTGGTGCCTTCATCCCTGGGCCAAATTTTCACTTCCCTTCCAGGAAGAAGGGAGGGAGGGACATGGGTGAAACATCTGGCCCAGCAGAAGAGTCAAGGTTGGGCTGCCATCTATCCACCTGGGATTGAATTTGGGGGGAGGGGGGGTTTCAATATTGCAAGGTGTGTGTGTGTGTGTGGGGGAACTGGCACGCTCACCTTGGTCCTCCCGGTATCGGCGGTACAAGATGTAGAGGATGGCAGCGCTGGCCGGGATGCCAAGGCCCAGGGCGATCTTCTGCAGGCCGGTCAAGCCTCCGGCCCAGGCGCTGCTGCGTTGGTCAGCCATGCCTCTGCAGCCTCCAGCTGTCCCCTAAGCATTGGAGGGAGGGGGTTTGTTGGGGGGGGGGGCAAACTTCAGCAAACCTCCCTCCCCAAAATCAGGCTGCTTGTAAAGAGTTTTGGCTTTTCCCAGTCATTTAAAGGCATTCAGGGTGCCGCTCCCTCTCTGGCTTCCACCCCCCCACCCCCAGCCAGCAGCTCCCTTCCTCTAGATCTCCAAGGAATCCACCCAGGGAGGCCTGGATCCCCCCCCCCTCCCACCCCATCTAAAGAACAAAACCGAACATCCCTTTATTTTTTGCAGATTGCAATTCTGGCTTTTCTTTTTTTCTTCTTTTTGCAAATCCTGCCCAAAAGGCGAAGCTCCGCAAAAGGGTGGGGCTGGAGGCGCCCCCCCCTCTAATAATGCAGGCTCCTCCGCCCCTGCAAAGCCCCGCGCGGGCAGCGGCCCCCCAGAGGAAATACCCCCCCCCCCCCCCCAACTCATGCTTTAAATTCTAAAAAAAACCGTTCGCAATTAGGAAGTTTTTGCTCGTTTCTTGAGGGGGGGGGAGGAGAACGGTGGGGGTTGACCCCTTGCAGCCCTCCGTTTTGTCTTTATTTCCTCCCCTCCTTTGCAATGCCGATAGACTGCCTCTGCCTCTGGAAGCTCCACATTTCCCCCGCTGCACACAAGAAAAGGGAAGTTTTTGGGTTTTTTTTTTTTCCCCTGGCCCGGGTGAGGGGGTTTCTCCGCCGCTCTTCCTCTCTCGGCCTTCTCCAACTTTCTCCTCCTCCTCCTTTAGGGTCCAGAAATATTGGGGGGGGGTGTGTCTCCACCACTTAATTGCAATTTAATTCGCCTAGTTTCGACCCCTCCCCCCCCCGCTGCTTTATTTTGCACGCCAATAATGCAAACCCGGCTTGCAGCCGCCTCTTATTCCAAGAGGCTTTCTTGCAAATAATAATAATAATAATAAAAAACGCATCCAGGGAATCCATTGCCAAGTCCTCCCCGCGGTCCGCCCGCTCTACGCCCCTCCCACAGCGCGACCCTTACCTGCACAACCGGCGTCCCCCCCCCGCGTTCCGCCTCTGCGGGACCCGCTATTTATAGCCTCTGGCTCCGCCCTCTTCTCTCCCCCCCACCCCCGCGCGCGAGCCTTTCAGCCAATCGGCGGAGAGAGAGCTACCTGCCGACGGGTGTTGGGGGGGGGAAATCGGAAAGGAGCGGCCAATCGGGAACGAGCGGTCGGGCGAAAGAGAGAAACGGGTGGCGTTAGGGCCTAGGTTAACCAATAGGCGATAAGAATGGGGGCAGGCGCGGTGGAGCCAATCAGCAGCGAGCGTGGGCGGGAGAGGGAGTTTTAACTGTCGCTCCGGCCCCTCGCGAGCGGCACGTGGTTTCCAACAACAGCGAGCTATCCCAGAATGCTTTGCGCTCCAATGGCTGAGACACCATTGATTACCCATAATGCCCCTAGCAAAGCCATGATGGACAGTTGAAAAGGGATTCTTTCAACTGATCTTCAAAACAATCCCAAGTTTTAGCAGTTTGCAGGCAAAAAAATGGATCCTGCTGAATTTGTTCATAACCCTTTATCCTAAAATTGAGAATTTAATCAATTTTTTCCCCATTTTGGGGGCCCAAAATATCAACTTCTTGGTCCAGCTCAGTTGGCACCTTGACTGCCCTTGCAAAAAAACCCCAAATAATCTTCTGTGCATAGATTGAGAAAAATATTAACCGTAGTTTGTACAACAAACTACACCTTGGATTGTTGCATGAAACCTTTATGAAGGTTTGTGGCTGGCTTTGCAGGCAGGCCAACCCTAGGAAGCCTAAAGGTTGACTTTGGGGCGGATAGTAGGTCCAAACCTCCCCATCTCTTAGTCTGAAAAGTTAGGAACCAAAGTGGATAAGGGAATCCTAAAAGAAATCTCCCAAGAAAGATTCTTGCTGAAAACATTGCACCCAATCACTTGTATTTATTTATCATAATGCCAGCCAGAGCCCCAAAGTCACCCAGCTTTGTTAAATCTCCCATTCCCTTGTGTGGCTTTTGTATAAAATTCAAATTATCGGCATAACGCCCCAATTTATGTGTGTGCAACTCATGACTGAAACATTTTTTTAAGGTACAAAATGCCTCCTTCTGTCAACTGATAACATAGAAGATACACAAAATGGTATTTGGATGGGTAGTTTTTTTTTTAACCTGCTTTGAATTTCAATATCCAGGGCAAAACTTTAAGAGTTTAAAACCTGATTTTCTTGAATTGTTCAAAGTTTAAACCCCAATTTTCATTTGAATTGTTCAGTCCACAATTTCCAAATGGTTAAATACCTGGCGCCGCAATGGAGCCCAAAATTCCTGTGGTTAGGCAAGACAAGTCGTGAAGTGAGTTTGGCCCTGTTTTACAACGTCCCTTGCCCCGGTTGTTAAGGGGATCACTGCAACTGGAATGCTGCAGCCATCATCAATATGAATCCGTTGCCAAGCATCTGAATTTGGACCGGGTGGCCACGGGGATGCCACAACGGTGTTAGTGTGAAAAAATGGTCACAAACCATTTTCTTTCAGTGCATTTGTAGCTTCAAACGGTCACTATGTGAACAGCTGAGGATGGCCTGCTAAAGACAATTTATTATCAATTGGGTCAGTCTTCCTCCAGATCCAAAACACGGCTGCCAAAAGAGAAGTGGAAATGAGAAAGACGAGAAGACGTAGAGAATGTAAGTGTGTGTATTGAGAAGGACAGATAACATTACAAACGAGCACAAAACAATCCATAAATAAGATGTAAAAACAACAAGGACCACAGATATGTTCGTTTTTTCAGAGAGGTTAAGGATTTGCAAGCTGCCGTTTTAATCATGTACACAGAGGCAAGAAATAATAATGGCAAGAAATCAGACAGAATTCTGCTGGGCAATTCTGTATTGGAAAGGATGATAATGAAGTCTTCAAATCACAGACACTAGCCACAATTCTCTCTTTATTTGATTTTAAATCCATTTCCTTCTCCTTCCCCCTTTTCCCTGGAATATGTCTCTGCTTTTCTATTATTACGCTGGTGGGAAAGGTTTTCTATTGTTTCTTATTTTGCAGAAAAGCTATTCAGACTTTAAAGTCGGAGCCCTTCAAAAAGATTGCACAGAAAAATGTGCAGGCTCCAGGGATTTTAATTCATGGTGGAAGATTTATAGGGAGACGGGCTAAATTTAATTGGACAGCATTCAGGTGGACTGAAGCTCTCTGTCTGGTTTTTTTCTCTGGGATCCAAAGACACACAACTTTACCAAAAATGTGTGATGCGTTTGGTGTTTTGCACAGAGAGGAATTAAGTTTCATTAATGTGAACAAAGGCAGCTTAAATAATTTCTGCAAGGCAGATTTCTTATTATTTCTCTATTTTTAAAAAAAATCCACAAAAATAATTCTGAAAACAAATAGCCCATTCTTTGGGAAGGATAGAAATAAATAAAAAAAAACCCTGAGCGTGAAAGGGGAGATTTAAGAATTTGTAAGGAACCTCAGAGATCATCTACTCCAGCCCCACAGCTCCAGCCTTATTCTGCTACTTAAGATGCAGCTGGAGCAATTTCTTTCATTTATATTTTGGTCCAGGAGCTCAAATGTGGGGCAATTTAGGCTGAGAGAGGGGGAACGGGGCCAAGTCCAGCGAGCTGTGGTGTCTGGATTCGAATCCAGACCTTTGCTCTTCCAATACATTCACCCTTGAACTACTATATCAAACTCCCTGAGTGATGACTGGCACCTTTCTGCTTAATTGGATAACAGAATTGGAAGGTTGTCCAGTCTCTTCTTAAAACCCTGCCTTTCTATACGTGATTTGCCTACACCTTTGGTAAAAATGGAAAGATATTGATGATAGAGAATGTCTAACTTCACCACCAATGGAACTGAACCGAACTACTACTTCCTGTTTCCCGGTGCACAACGCTTCTGTATATGGTATAGAGCTGAATTTGGCAGTAGCTTTTTTTTTTTTAGCAGGCCGGGGGTACAGCGGGCTCGATAATATGATTCAGCCAGAACCTTTGAGAAAGTAGAAATTGTCACCCATCAGAGTTTAGAAGCCCCCAGAGTTAGATCCAGGGAAAGTCCATGGTGGAAAAATTGGACACGCAGACGCACAACGCAGTTTAGCTGTTGTCGTGCACCCACGTTTGGTGCAGCATAGCTTGGTGAAAACACACTTCCTGGGTGCGATGCTTCGGTGCCCAACTGGAATAAAAACTAGCACAACTCAAAATGAACATTTGCTACTGTGGAAGGATTCGGAGCATGGTTCTCGTAGCCGGACGGATCCAACTCGCTGTGAGATACAATTAAATACGATTCCATTTTTTCCCTTTCCTGCCACGGATGCATCTCCAAGTCTTTTAAGGTGACGTTTTCTTATATCGGAGGGATGTCAATGCAAAAATTAGATTTTGGGAGTCCAGGTGTGAGTTGAACCCTTACGCTGATTCCCTTGCCACAAATGTTAAAACAAACACCGAGGATGTAAATGCAATTTTTCTACACTTTTCTCCCCTCGACTCTCACAAAGCTGAACCGAAAGGCGTCACTGGCTCGGATCTTTGCGGCAATTTAAAAAAAAAAATGCAGTTGCGTAGCACACATGCAACGTTACAAGAAGGGTTAAGAAGACAGGATAAGACCTCATGCCCGGAATATATTTCTTGCAAAACCTGGAAATATTTTGCCCTTCAAAGCTGGAAGGAAACCGAGTTGGTGAGGGTCACCAGGAAGCCAAATGAGACCTTCCTTGCTTCAGAGTAAACCTCCTCCATCGTGTTATCTCCCCAGGAAAATAAAAACACAAAGCATTTATTTTCCTGGCACTTACGGGCTCTCCTACCACCACCAAACTTTGGACTCTTCTGGGAAGGACAAACCTCGTGTCCATGGTTGGACAGCCTGGTGACCCGGGGGAGGAAAAACACACGTGCGCAAAGCATCCAGAGACAGAGACCAGTGTGTCCCTCTGCTGGGAATTCGGGGTCCTTGGAACGGCCGAGAGCATCAGTAGAAGCGGCTCGATGTATCCGAAGCCAATTCTTTTTTTCTTTTTTCTTTTAAAAAGGACAGCGATGGAAAAAAACATTATTATTATTATTATTATTATTTTGGCAGTGTGATGGGATCCACTCCTAGCTACAGATCTGGTCTATAGCAAGAGGATGGTTATGGTGAGGAATGCAGCACCCGAAAGCATCAGAGCAAGCTCCGGAATGACTCCACTACTCAGAGCAACCTCAAACCCCATAATTTCCTCCTTGTAGCCTTTTTCTCTAGCCATGCACTTGAAGAGGCCTTCGCCCATCGGCGTGTGTTGCCCGAAGCGAAGCGTGCAAGATTGGTCCTCCATGGCACAGGGGTAAAACTTGTTGTCCTTGACCCAGCTGTAGCTGGCATGGTGGGACCTCAGAGGGCAGGGTAGGTAGATGTAAGCCGTGTGATCCACGCTGACTTTCTTGATGCTGTCCTGGGATAATTTTTCTACTGGGTCCGGCGTTTTAGGAGAGAAAAAAAGAGTAAGGCAGAGAAAAACACTCAACGCAGTGAAAAGAAGTAGGTTTTCAGATCCCTGAGCAGGAGGGTTAGGTTCAAAAGCTTGCCAGGATGTCAGCCAATGAGGACTGTTTGGAAACTGAAACTAGAAGTAGCCTAGGTGTGGCTTTAATGTTAAGCTCTGCAGCTCTGCATCTATGTTGAGCTCTGAGTCTGTCTGTTGAAGGTGAAACTGCTACTATTCTCGGCTGTGTGTCTTGCTTGCCTGCTGAACTAAAGTGAAACTGAGGTCTGCTTCTGTTTGAGTTTGCTCCATGTTGGAGAAATCTACAGCTGGTATTGTAAAATGTACTTTATCTGTTTCTAAAGAAGTTAAATGAAGCCTCAGCCATTGGTGTTTATTTTTCTGGTGCTGAATTTACACCGCAATACTCTGAACAAAGGACCACAGGTGTGTGACCCAGCTCAACTTGGAATACCTCCTGGGTGAGGGGAAAGGGATATAAAAACACAAATTTAATCAAGCCAACCCCCTCCCTGGTTCTCCATTTCCTGCCCCTTTGAGATCAACCTCCTGTGATCATGACAAGGCCATATGCACCCTTTCACCAACACTCCAAGTTCCTGCAAGGGAGCACAGAGTTACCTTCTGCTGCTTTGCACGCCTGAGTGGTACTGGATGAATCCAAGCTCTGGATCAACCTGTTGAAGGACAAAGTGGGAACATCTCAAGAACTTTGCTTGCAGCAAGCCAACCGTCCCCCTAGTTCTGTGCTTTGTTTCTCCCTAGTCAATTATCCCATACTCCGTGTTAACTAAACCCATCGGTCACACACGCGTGTCCGAAGCTCGTGCACGCAGCGTTCTCCCTCCCCCACTTTTTGTTCCTCTTGGCTTTTGACCGACCTGTTGGTGTGGTTTTTCTGGGAAATGGCGGAACAACTCTTTCCAGCTGCATCCCACCCACAGTAAGGGTCCTGGGCCAAGATGCACTTCCAGCAATTTCCATTATATTGGCTGCAGTCGTGCAAGGGTAGACGCGTGACTTCAAACTTGGTGCTCACGTAGAGATGGCCCTACCAGAGACAAAATGGGTTCTAGTGCAGGGGGAAGAAAGGAACTTGGCGAAGGAGGAAGATGAACAGTTGACAGGGAGTGGGAGTGTGGCTCCACTGGCTGTGGAAGAAACTGGGGAAGGGCAAAGTCTGGCTGGGCAGGGCAGGGGAGAGGTAGAACAAGGGAGAGGGAGTTCAGAGGAAGACCCAGGCCCACCCCTTCTTCATCCTAGGGCATGCAGGGAGGAATGGAGAAGGGAGCAACAGGGATTCCGTGGCTTACGAGGGAGGAAAGGGCCCTGATTCCCTTCATTAGCCGCAGCTGGGAAGAGAATTGATAAGAAAGGCAGGCTGCGTGCGGCAGGCTGTTGGGAGCAAATGTGACTTTATCTTGTGTTGTCATGGCTTATCTTTGTTACTGGTGTCTTCCCAACTGTGTGAGTTTTGCCATGCCTTCAAGTCTGAAATTCTTGCTCCTGCCACGCCAAACCAATTACTTCAATTTGGCTTGTTTGGACTTTAAGTTACAGTTTGTGTTTACCCTGTTTTGGACTTGATTCTCTGCAGCCAAAGGCTGTTCCTAGGAGAGTTTTTCTCCAGGACAACGTTGGAGCTAATAAAGGGACTCCTACGGATTATCTGACTGCGTTGTTTTTGTGCCACGCCCCTTTGGATCACCACACAGGCTTATTCTTCATCTTACCGTGGCAGCATCCAGGATCATCTGGGTGACAGGTGCTTCACCCTTGAAGGGGCTTAACTCGGCAATGATTACTGTCTGTTCTTTGCTTCGGAGGACTTTATGGATCTTCCCTTTGGCTGTCGCCACAAAAACAACAACAACAGAACTCTGGTTAGGTGGAAGGAGTCTACCAATGGTTGTTGTCTTAGCAATAGACACAAGATGTCTTGCTAGAAAAGCCTTGGGTTCATCCATCCAAGGGGTGAGGATGGCTTGCCTCTAAGGGTAGGGAAGGAGCAGGGCTTAATGCAAAAGTGAATGTGTTGATGGATCCAGAACCTCAATGGATTCCTTCAAAGTTTAGCCCCATTCCTGTCCCTAGAGTTGAAGACTCTAGAAAGAGTGCAGAGAAGAGCAACAAACATGATTAGGGAACCTGAGGCTGAACCATATGAAAAACGGTTGCAGGAATTGGATATGTCTAAGTTTAACGAAAAGAAGGACCAGGGGAGACATGATAATAGTCTTCCAATATTTGAAGGGCTGCCCCAAAGAAGAGGGAGTCAAGCTATTCTCCAAAGCACCTGAAGGCAGGACAAGAACCAATGGGTGGAAACTCATCAAGCAGAGAAGCAACTTAGAACTAAGGAGAAACTTCCTAATAGTGAGGAACAATCAACCAGTGGAATGAAGTTGTCTCCAGAAGCTGTAAATGCTCCAACACTGGAAGTTTTTAAAAAAGATGTTGGATAACCCTTTGTCTGAAGTGGTGTAGGGTTTCCTGCCTAGGCAGGGGGTTGGTCTAGAAGACCTCCAAGGTCCCTCCCAACTCTCTTATTCTGTTTTGTTAAGGTTTTGTTGCCACCTGCTTCTTTACACAGCAAACTCACCAGTTCCAAGAAAGAGGACATCATGGGACACATTGTTGGCGTCTCGGACCTTGTCCACCACCACCTGAGTGTACGTATCGTTCATCTGAAGGACATACAGAGGTTGCTCCTCATCTGGATAGACAACGGCTTCCAACTCTGGGTGGTCCTTAATGAAGGCCAGCATTTTGGCCAAGGAAGAGCTGGAATCTGGTGGAACACACTGTGGTGGGAGGGGAAAAGAGGCATGAGATACTTGAGAACATCCCAAATTTTTAACCCAAATTCTGTCCAGTAATGCAGAAAAGTCGCCTCCTTCAGTTGTTTTTCCTGCCCAACTAATTCCAAAAAGCATTTTAGAAATAACCTCTCAATCTTAACTCGCAAGTCCCAAATAATTTGCGCTAGCTCGATACCCATGCTTCATTATGAAACTATGTGGTCGGGCTTAGTTTTTGGGGAGGAAAATAAAGGGGAAAAAATTCTGCCTCTGCCTACCAGCATCCATCGGTATTCCTCTGGCTAGCATCCTGTCAGTGTGTAAGAGAGTTGAGGGCTGTTTGGAAATTGAAACAGTATGAGCAAGAAGGAGGCAGCAAGGTGCCTGGGCGTGGCTCAGCTCAACTGTTCTGGACTAAAGCTGGTTGCTGCTGTGAAACTGAAACTCATCTGCTTGTGTTTTGCATTTAGAACAGATTTCTTTTCAGTTGGGCGGGGGAGTAGGACTCCTTAGCATCAGAGCGTGTTAATAATAATAATAATATAGGAATTATTAATCCTCTGGTGGTCATTTCGAAAAATCCTTTCTTAGCAAGCACATAGAAGCCAAAAGGAACATACATGCCAAATGTCAAGTTTGTAGGCTTTACGGTTCTGGAGATTTTGTGGGGATACACGAGGGGCATTTCGCTTTTATATAGAGAGATTATCGTTGAATATAGCAATGGCGGAATCATTCAGGGCCGCAAGAAATAAAATTAAGCGGCGATCAGACACCTAGAATCCAGAAAACAACAACCAGTCACCGAAAAGCAAAGCCTCCAATGAATCTTACCAGGCCAGGTCTGGGATGAGGGATGGAGCCGGGAGCATCCTTGAATTTGGAAGTTTCAAAATGGGAGCTGATTCGTTTCATCGAGTAGGAACAAACTGCAGAGGAGCCCCTTGGAAGAAATAAAGCGGATATATATATATTTTTTAAATGTCAAGTGGTGAGTTTTGCATCAGTGTATCCAGGATCCCAAGGGATTGTGTGCATAAGGAAGTCAGTCTGGGAATTTCAGAACCACGGACAGCACCAAGCAGAATGTAGCTAGTCCTTGACTTACAACAGTTCATTTAGTGACTGTTCACAACAGCACTGAAAAAAATTGACTTAGGACCATTTTTACACTTATGACTGTTTCAGCATCCCCTGTTGTCATGTGATCAAAATTCAGACAATTAGCAACTGTCTCACATTTACGATGGTTCCAGTGTGATCACTATCTGAGACCTTCTGACCAGCCAAGTCAACAGGGGAGCCAGATTCACTTAACAACCGTGTTACTACTTTAGCAATCGCAGGGATTCTCTGAACAAGGAAGGTCATAAAATGGGGCAAAACTGCAACAGATTCTGTTGCAACAGGTTAGCAACAGAAATTTGGGGCTCAATTGTCATAAGTCAAGGGCAACGTGTATCAGCGTGGGAATTTCAGGACCAAAGACAGTGCCCATGTAGACCCACAGCCTGGGAATTTCAGGACCATAAACAGCGCCCATGTAGGCCCACAGCTCGCGGGTTTCAGCACCATAGACAGCACCCACGCAGATTCACAGCTTGGGAATTTCAGGACCATAGACAGCCCCCATGTAGGCCCACAGCTTGGGGGGGGGTTTTCAGCACCATAGACAGTGCCCATGTAGGCCCTCAGCGTGGGAATTTCAGGACCACAGACAGCACTCATGCAGGCTCACAGCCTGGGAATTTCAGGACCATAGACAGCACCCATGTAGCCAAGTTACTCCAACAGCGAATGGATTTAAAGGCTATGCTGAAAAGATCGTTTTCAAAAAACGAAAAGATCCAGCCTAAATAGTTCAGAAGACCTGATTGATTTGATGCATCCTCAACAACGACGGGATTCCTGATCCAACTTCCCTTTGACCTGTAGGCCGTATCTCACCACTCACCAGGGGCTGGAGAAGACCCCGTACAAGGTTGCCTCGGCCTGGCCCTCCTCTCTGAAAACGAAGGCGTCCTCCAAGCGGTGGAAAAGCAGGGGCTCGTGGGGGCGTCCACACACCAGCCTTGCTTTGAGGAAGGTGCTCCAGAAATCCCCCGAGCCTGGTTTTTCTCCCTGATCCACCTGTACACCCGACCCCCCAAGAGATAAAGACACACGCTGAATGCTCTGGTCAATCGTGGAAAATCTTGACCCTATAGGTGAGCTGGGACCTCTTCCTCCTCCTTTCCTGCCCTTCCAGAAAAGCATCAAGACCTGGCACTCCAACTGGCATGGGGAGAGGGTGTCTTGAGGGGTCTTCCTCCACCTTTTTAAACACTTAAATCTTCGTGGTTCTTAACTTTTTGAACTCTGTTTTTAATATGGTTTTATTAATTAATTCAATGTAGATGCTTGCCCATCTGACTATCAAATAGAATAGAATAACAGAGTTGGAAGGGACCTTGGAGGTCTTCTAGTCCAACCCCCTGCTTAGGCAGGAAACCCTACACCACTTCAGACAAAGGGCTATCCAACATCTTTTTTAAAACGTCCAGTTTTGGAGCATTTACAACCTCTGCAGGCAAGTTATCCCACAGGTTAATTGTTCTAACTGTCAGGAAATTTCTCCTTAGTTCTAAGTTGCTTCTCTCCTTGATTATCAAGCGATTCCGTGCAGTCTCTATAAATTTAATAAATACGGATAAATAGAACACAGAGTTTCAAAGTCAAGCAGGACAAAAGATTTAAAAAGTTTTTCAAAAAGTTTTTGATTGGGAAACCGCCCAGAGTCATTGTGGTGAGGTGGGGCAGTACAGAAATTTTATCGATCGAGCAATCAACCAATCAAAATTTTATTCTATATATTGCTTTACCAAGCCCTCCCACTTTCCCCCCTGCGCCCTAGATAGAAAGAAAACGCCTCCTTTCCCCAACCTTGCACACGCGTCCAAGCCAAACTTTGTACAGCTCCTCATCCAGGCCGGCAGACCGGTTGACCTCATTGTAGAAGAAGAAAATTTCATCTTTCCTCCGATCTTTATGTGGGAAGAGAGCTGCTCCTTCAAACTCAGCATCTAGGACAGAAAATTCAGGGTGAAAAAGCAAAACAAAAACGCAGCCCGAAATGATCACATCCAGAGATCCACTGCCGTAATCTGCCGGCAGCCTGCAAGCTTTGCCGTGGAAACGTCTTGCTGTCTTTTTAAAGAGTTTTTGGCTTTATGTTCAATACAGGTGGTCCTCGACTTAACAGCCACAAAATGGACCCCAACATTTCTGCTGCTAAATGAAACCTTTTTTTTGACGTGGGCTTTGTCCCATTTTACAAACTCACTGTAATGACCCAAAGGGGCGTGGCACAAAGGCAACACAGTCAAATAAGCAAGAAGTGTCCCTTTAATACCTCCAACTTTGCCCCCAATGTCCAGTTACCTTCGGCTGGACAAAAAAAATCTCCCACACAGTTGGGAAGATGCCAGAAACCCACGTAAGCCTTGACAAACAAAGATAACTTCCAGCAACTTTGCTGTGCGTAGCTTCCCTTTTTAAATACTGTGTTCCCAGCTGCAGCTAATGAAGGGAATCAGGGCCCTTTCCTCCCCCGTAAGCCACCCAACCCACGTTGCTCCCTTCTCCGTTCCTCCCTGTGTGCCCTAAGATGAAGAGGGGGGTGGGCCTGGGTCTTCCTCTGAATTCCCTCTACCTTGCTCTGCCTCTCCCCTGCTCTGCCCAGTCAGACTGTGCCCTCCCCCAGTTTCCTGCCACAGCCAACGGAGCCACACTCTCACTCCCTGTCAGCTGCTCGGCCTCCCCCTCTGAATCAGATTCCAACAGGGGCATGACACTCACCTGCCACATTTGTTAAGTTTGTTAAGCGGTTATTAAGTTAGTCACACCATTGTTTAAGTAAATCTGGCTTCCCCGTGGACTTGGCTTGTCAGAAGGAATCACTACGTCCATCATAAATGTGAGTCAGTTTGTCAAGTGTTCAAATTTTGTGACCACGGGGATGCTACAAAGGTCGTAAGTGTGAAAAATGATAAGAAGTCCCCCTTTTCAGTGCCCTCCTAACTTTGAACGGTCACTAAATGAACCATGGAAAAAGTCTAGGTCTCCCTGTATTCCATTTTCAGGAAAGTGGGAAAAGGAACAAGGAAGTTTTCTTACTGCTGATCCAACTGTCCCTCGTCTTGACTCCTTTTTTCCGTCCGTAGCTTCTCTGGAAGGAACTTTTATTCCCGGATAAGGCCGAGTAGAGGCTGTCTTCTGAAATACGGAGAAAAGCCAGAGCTGAAATCTGAAACCTTTTTTAAAATATAGAAATGTTGAACGCTTCACACGCGATGCTGATTTCATTTCTTTTTTCTAACATCCAAGCCCTGATCCTGCTATTAGGTGGGGAAAAAAAATAACAAGCTTGAGATTTGGAAAGACATTTTTTTTTTTAAAAAAAGAGGAATTTTGGCTTCTTCCGGAGCCCCTTACCGATGGCGATGGTGACGGCGTTTTGCAACGGTGAGGATGAGACAACGTTTTCCCCCACCATGGTGAAAATTTGACCCTGGCTGCTTCTCTGCAGTGATGTGTTGACCTAAAAGGAAAAAAGAACCAAAGATCAACCTTCCTGTAAAAGCAGTTCAAATTTTAGAATGATACTTTATCGATTCTTATGTGTTGCTCAAAGCGCCTTCTGTAATGGTTGCCAAGTCCCTTACCAAAAGCCAGCATTTGGGAGAACCTGCATTCGTGCCACAGACCAGGGTTTTGTTCTCTATCCTTTCGATCATCTGGATGAAGTTGTCGCAGTCGCCCTACGAATGGCAGAATGGGGAAAATAAAATCCATCCAATTCAACTCAACCTAACTCTACCAATCCCATCCAACCCAACCCAATAAAATCCAATCTAACCCTACCTATCACATCCAACCCAACCCAACCCAACCCAACAAAACCCTATTCAACCCTACACATCCCATCCTATCCCGTCCAACCCAACCCATCCCAACCCAATAAAACCCAATCCAACCCTACCCATGCCATCCAACCTATCCCAACCCAATCCAACTTATCCAACCCATTCCAACTCAACCCATCTTACCTCACTCCAACCAAACCAACCCAACCCAACTCAACTCAACTCAGACCAACCCAACCCAACCCAACTCTAGCTAAGTCTGCTAGAACAACTTTGGGGAATGCTCTGTGCCTGGAAATGGAAGGAGGAGATAACTGGAGGAGATAAAAGTCCTGCCAAGCTATCAGCTTAAGTTGCCTTAAGGAGTTGGCTCTTTCCAACTAGCCAACCAACAAAGACAGGCCATATGTTGGACTTGAGGTGATGGAAACTGTCTGTTCAGAGTCTCTCCAACATTTCCTTTCCCTTGGGGAAAGCATCCTCCCCTTTCCAAACTGAGCTGCCAGCTCACCTTCTCTGCTCTCTTACAATCCTTCTCAGCCTTCTCTTCGACGCGCACTGGCACCTGGGCACCAGAGAGAGAGAGAGAGAGAGACACCTTGAGCATTGTGAATTTGTTATCATGGTCATTAAGCAAATCGCTTGATCATTCAGCCAATCCAGCGTTGCTTATCGGAAGCTGGGTGGGAAGGTGGTGAACTCGGACCATGTGACCACAAGACACCACAACCGTCGTAAATGTGAACCCGTTGCCAACCCCCAAATTGTGAGCCCATGACCACAAGCATTGGTCCTAAGTCGCTTTTTGCAATAGCATTGCAACTTCGGACCGCTGTTCAAACAAATGGTCATAATTTCAAGGACGATCTGTAGGGGATTTGGATGGAGGGGTGGGATGGCTTACCTCGGTGGGTGTGATTTCAGAACCCACAAAAGTCAGAATCCACACTGTTCCTCGCCCTCCCACAATCAGTTGAGGGGACCCAGCCTCATGGAACATGGCTGTCAGCCTTTCCTTCTGATTGAAACTTTGGGTCACGGCATCTGGGGGTGGGGGGAAATCAACAATCTTATTAAAAACAACCCCAGCTGCCAACAAACCACCATCGATGGAAAGACCCTCCTCTGAGATTCTTTGACCCACAAACCACCTTTTCCATGGCAGAGTCTGTAACTTTCGGCCCTCCAACTCTCTTTAACCTCTCTTGGAATAAATATTTGCTCCAGATGTGTACCATGGGCCTCCTGGACAGCAAAGCTACCTTTTGTGGATGATGGTAATGCTAACCTGGAGGAAACCCACTTCGTGAATCCCCTTCCTCCATTTCCACCTGCGGTTTGCAATCCGGAATGAGACAACTCACCACGGGCCCCCTACCCGCCGTGGGAGACCATGGGAGAAGAGTTATGCTAACATCCCAAGAACTATTGAAATGAAATCATTAAAAGAAGGACGATGTGAAAATGTGAACAGCCAAAATTAAAATATATCTATATTAATTATTTTAAATGATTGAGTCGAATCGTTGACCTGTCTTGCAATGAGTTGTCGTAGACTCTTCACAATCGGTCCTAGATACCAGGAAACCGCATCCAGGGCGGGCACTCCCCACACTTCACACAATAACTTGCATTCGGAAGTTGTGGGAGCGCCATCGCTTGAGACTTTTGAAAATTGGTCTGTGTTTGTCGGAAATGGTGTAGGGTCTCCCGCTTGGCCGGGGGTTGGGCTAGATGACCCACAAGGTCCCTTCCAACTCTGATGATCTGTTACCTTGTTAACTTTGCACACTTCTGCTAACTCCTGGTTGGGGGTATTCAAAAATTAAAAAAAAAATGCCATCTTGGTTTATTTTAGCCGGCCTGGATGCCGGCTGCATCTTCATCGTTGTGGGAAAGGGACTCAAAGCATCCAGAAGCTGCCATCTTAATCCATTATGCAAATAGATGGGCTCAAGTCTTGGCAAATTGCAAAACAACAACAACAACCCCCCAATCGGCCACAACAAGGGACCACACCTTGTTGTTGTTTGCTCCCTTTTGTGTTTTTTACCCTCCTCTGCCCTCCACGCAGAGGCGCTTTGTGTGTTTGCAGGGCTGAGTCACAGGGAGGGAAAATCAACCCCCCTCCCACCCCAGCAATGAATGCAGAGCACTGTCTGTTCCCCCCCCCTCACCTCCCCAGCTCTCTCCAACCCCCCTCCCTTCTCTCTGTGCTCCATATCTTGGCTTTTATCTGCATTGCGGAGGGGGCTCCGGTGGTTTTGACCTGCCGGAGCAAAATCCGCGTAAAACAGCTGGAGATCTCCGGGCTGCTTTGCAAAACGCCGACTTCTTCGTGCCATTCAGCTGTCATTGCATTGGGAGGAGGGGAGGGGGGGGGAGGAAGAGGACAAAATTAATTTGGAGGGGGAGGGTTTCTCAAGATGAGATGCCCCTTAAGAGCAGAGTTTTGCTCCTGCGTATTTTGCTGCGGAGAATTTTTGGAATGGTTGCCAAGGAGAAGATTTCTTTCATATTCTCACTCCCAAACGGACGGCACTTTGCCGACTTCCAATGTTCCATGTTTATGTGCCGTGCGCCGATTACAAGTGGATTGGGACCTTAAAGTCTTGGCCCTCCTGTTAAAAATATATATTTCCCCTCCCCGCCAATCCTTTTTACAGGAGGAAATGGGCTCCATTCGGGGCTTGTAAGGGTTTTCACTGACTAAACAGAACCTCCAGTTGGAGAGGCTGTCTACCTGTCCACCTGGGAAGGGAGGCCTGGCCCTTTGGGAGCTTCTCAGAAGGATCTAATTGATCCCCGCGGGGAGGCTAGACTAGAGCTGGGTTGCCATCAGATCTGATCCGATTGTCACGGAATTGAACATCAGAAGGAAATACTAAATATTTAATTTCTTTTCCCATTCTCTTGTCGTGTTTCATTGAATTGTTGGAGTCAGACAGACCCGGAAACAGGAGGGTTGTTTGCTGTGTACAGCTTCTGTAAATCACTCCGAACCGTTTTTTGTTTGAACTGGCCTTGAAAATATTCATAAAAAACCAAATTGGGACGTAAAACCTCCATGGATAAGCGCAGTATATCTGAACAGATAGGGCCCAGAATTCCAGAGAAAGCAACTGGGCCTTTGAATACCTTTCTTCTCTTCCCTGTTCCCTGTTTTTGGAGCACTTGTTCACACATTTGGGGACTGGGCCAACTTTAATTTGAATTTTACCAAATTTCTTGCCAATCGGCTTATATGCTGGAGAAGCTTTAAAACAGCACCGAAATGGCCAGATTTGGCAACTGTTTAGCAGCCATTCTGTGGCTGAAAAGGGGGGGGGGGACCCCCCCCCCCAAAAAAAGTGCCCCTGGAAGTCAATTTTGAGGGTTCGGGCACCTTGCCACGCTGTGCATCACAAAATATCCCATCGGAGCCAAAATATTTATGCTCTGCACAAAAAAAAAAAAAAAAACCGACAAGAGCCAACTGTTTAATCTCTCCTGCAGGAAAACCTCCCTTAGAAAAAGGCAGCTAAGAGGCCATAAAATTGAAAGCTGCATCTCTCTGCAGCAAAACCCAGAATTTGGTTCTTCTCCTCTGCTCCTCCCCCCCCCCCCCCCCCCGTCCCTGTTTTTTAATGTCTAATTATTTCTTTCTAATCCAGGAGAGAAGCAACCTGGAACTAGCGGAACATTTTCCAACAGCATGAAGAGAAGAAGAAACCAGAAACCCCACCCAGATGAGCCTTTTTTCTTAAATGTTAGATAAAGAAAAAGGGGATCCACTTATTTTCCAAAGTTCCAGAAAACAGGACAAGAAGGGATGGATGGAAATTAATCAAGGAGAGACACAATCTGGAATGAAAGAGAAATTAACCAGCGGAACAGCTTGCCACTAGAAGTTATGGGTGCTTCATCACTGGAGGTTTTTAAGAAGAGATTGGAGAGCCTGCTTGAGCTGGGGGGGGGGGGGCTGGACTAGAAGACCTCCAAGGTCCCTTCCAACTATGTTATTCTGTTTTCCTTTTGCAGGTGCCAAATGACTTTATTTCCCCCTCAGATATCTGTTTCTTTGAAATGTTCGCCTCCCTGCAGTCTAAATTTTCAAAGAAACAAAACATGAATAGCCCTTACCTTGGACAAGGGAGTTTTGTTTTGTTTTTAGACTTACAGGAACCCTTTTCCTCTCTTAATAACTTCTTGAAAGCCTCGTTGGGGCTTCTTTGCAAATCACATCCTGCTTCTAGTCCTCAAAGATTTCTCTAAATGCTACCAATGCTTTTCCAGACCCCTTTTCTCTTCCAGCTCCCTCTTGGTCACAGAAATGGTGGGTTTCAAAGCTCATTTTCTTGAAAGAAAGGGAAGAATTTGTGCCCAGCAGCTCCAGGCACTGCCCACAGGGATTCCTCCCCTGTTTTTTTTAGCTACAACAGCCCTGCGAGGTGGGTCAGGACCCAAATTAATTCAAGGCACTTCTGGGTCTGAATGCAGGGGACCCACATTTCCCAAGGAAATCCATTAATCCGAGTTCCGAGAATATGGAGGAAGTGGCCCTAAGTCTATTTTCTAAAATGTTCATGACTCAGCAGAGGGATTGACCTAAAAACAGATGCATCCTTGCTAAGAATTTTAAATTGCTTTTTGCAGGAGGATTTGAGGCAGAGGTTGGGGTGGGGGGTGGGGAACACCATTTTGCAACAGGGTTGTTTGGTTGGTTATGTTTTTTTTCCCCTTCCTCTCTTTTTCCTGCTTAAATTCAAGATCCTGCCTTAATTCAATATATTTCTTTAATGAGGAAATAGGCCATTTTCAGTTCTTTGGAGAGAAGAAAGCTTAAGATGGAAGGATTTGCTCCATCGGCAGCTGGGCTTTTTCAAAAGCTTGGCATTTAGCCATTTAACCTACGTACCTCTCTGCAATCTGAAAGGGCTTGCAAAACAATAATAACATAAAACATTTGCAGAACTCAAGTCCTTGGGAAGGACTGGAGTGGCGGATAGAAATGCCAAATCCAGACTGAACTATCTGGCCGACTCTGCAAACAAACCCTCCTAAGAAAACAGATGACTCGATAGGAATAAAAATATGAATAATAATTATAATAACGATCGGGAAAGAAAGCTCAGGGTTTTTTTTTGAATAATATTAATAATTTTTTTTTAAAAAGCTTGCCTTTGGAAATGAGAAGGAAAAAAGCTCATTTTGGCAATTAGAATCATAATAATAAGAAAAAAACACCCACTTTTTCCAATCAGCATTATAGAAATTATAGATAAAAGCTCTCCTTTTGTGGAATCTACATAGTCATAATAGAAAAAGAGCACCCCTTTTTGAATAGTAATAACAACAACAACAACAACAACAACAACAACAACAATAATAATAATAATAATAATAATAATAATAATAATAATAATAATAATATCTGGGGTACTGGCAGCAACCTGCATCAACCATCAGTGCCAGTCAATGATACTTGTGATACATTTTTAAATGTTCAGTTGACTTGAGTTTCATATTTAATGAATAAAAGAGATGATGATAATGATCATAATAATAACAATACCACAATTTTAGAAATCGCAATCATCAAAACTATAGGAAAAAGCTTTTGGGCATCAAAATAATAATAATAATAATAAATAATAATAATAATAAACAACTCTTTACCTTTAGGAATTACGATCATAAAAATGTCAGGCAAAAGCCTTCGACATCAAAATAATAATCATAATAGGAAATAAAAGCTCACCTTTGGGAATCAGCCTCAGCCGGGGAATATTTTGAGAGGCTCCAAGGTAAAAGAATGCAAAAAGGCAGAAAAGGGGGAAAAAACACCCCATGTTTGGGGAGGCTGGCTGAAACTCTGCAAAAATAGAAGGGGGATTTCAGAGTGGCCGGAATTCAATTCAATTCAATCCTTGCAGGAGATTTCTTTCAAGGCAGGACCTTATTCTGCCCAGAGCCAACACCGCTCTGCGCCTCCCTCCCTTCTCTGTTTTCTAATTTATAGTCCAATTAAATAAATAAAAAAGAAAGAAAGAAAGAAAAAGAAACCGGCTCCCTCCAGCGGCCGGCGGGGAAGAAGATCAGAGGAGAGGAAAACAGGGATGGGTTGTTGCCGAGAGATTATTATTATTATTATTATTATTTCTGGGTGGTGGTGGAGAATGAGTTGAACAGGGACTGCATTGGGTATCAATTGAAACATCTGTTGGGAATTTGAGATATGGCCAGATGTTCAGAGAGGAAATTTCCTTCCTTCCCTTCTGCTTCTTTCCTTCCTTCCTTCCTTCCTTCCTTCCTTCCTTCCTTCCTTCCTTCCTTCCTTCCTTCCTTCCTTCCTTCCTTCCTTCCTTCCTTTTTCCTCCCTCCCTCCCCTTCTGTTCTATCCTTCCTTCCCTCCTTGTCCTTCCCTCCGCTTTTCTTCCCTCATTTTTCCTTTCCTTTTTCTTTTCCCCCTTCCTTTCCTCCTCTGCTTTCTTCCTTTTCTATCCTTTATCCTTTCCTTTCTTTTCTCTCCCTCCAAATCTCCTTCCTTTCTCTGCTTTTCTTCCATTTCCTTCCCTTCCTTTTTCCCTTCCTTCCTTTCTTCTCTCTCCTTTATCCTTCCCTTTTTCCCTTTCTCTCCTTCCTCCCTTCCTTTCCTTTTTTCAATTTCCTTTCCTCCCTCCCTCCCTCTCTCTCTTTTTTCAGTCCCCTTCCCGTCTTCCTCTCCTCCTGCAGAGCACTTATGGGAGACCCCCAGGCTGAAATTCATCCTTTTGGCTTCGCCATCTCCTGGGTGAGGTGGGGGGATTTTCAGCCAAAATAAACCGCTGGCTCGCTCAATCAATAGCGTTCCCTCTTGCTGTGTCATGGTTGTTTTCAGGCTGAAAGCACCTCGCCTTTCTCCGGGGGGTGGGGGGGGGGGGGGGGGGGGGGGGGGGGGGGGGAGAAGAGGTTTGGAAGCCAGGCAGAAGAAGCCTCGATTCGAGACCCCTCCTCTCATTCCTCCTCCTGAACGTCATGGTGATAGCCCACCCACCCAATTTTCTAAGCAGCTGCTGGCTGGAATGAACGCTGAACCTTGCAATTACAATCATCCTTTCACCATGGATGCAAAACAAGCCAACTCATTTCTCTCACTGTAACATTATTTTAACATTTTAACATTTGCAAAAATTGGCTTTTCCTTCCTCACATTTCCCCTCCTTGGCATGGGAGAATTCAAACCCTCTTCCGTTGCTGAAATTTCCAAGAAAAGAACCACCAATAATGGGCATGTTCCTTGAAAATCAGGCGTGCTTCCGTTCTCCAATACAGACTTAATGACTGCAATTGAGCCTCCAAACGTTCTGTTGTTTAGTGAAACCTGCAGGGGTGGGATTCAAATTTCTTAACAACTGGTTCTGTGGGCGTGTAGGTGTGCGGCTTGGTGGTCAAGTGACTGGCTGGGCGTAGCTTGCATGTAAATATTATAAATATTTATGTAAATATTGAATTTTTTTATAAAAAAGCCAATTTTACCCAAAAGCAGGCAAAGCAGGCAGGCAGATTGAGTTGCTCGCAGAATCACAGATTCACTCAGAGATCTATCTTTCCGCAATCTGCTGCCTGAGTCTATCACATAAAATATGCTTGCAAACAAACTCACAAAATTAACTCACAACACACCATGTATGCAAATATTGATTTTTTTTTTATATAAAAAAAGAGCAACTTTTACCCAAAAGCAGGCAAAGCAGGCAGGCAGATTAAGTTGCTCGCAGAATCACAGATTCACTCAGAGATCTACCTTTCTGCCATCTGCTGCCTGAGTCTGCACTGAAAAATAAAAGCTTTGGTCCTAAGGAAGGTTCAGCTCTGCTTTTAGATGAGCTAGAAAACCATAAATGCCAACGGTTTCCTGCTTTCTAGCTAATCTTAATCTCCCAGCACAGCCGAACAGCTGATGCTCGGGGAAAAAAAAAGGAAAATAGCAGCTCACCAAATGCAGGCAAGTTTGATGGTGTGCACCTTTGGCACGCTCTCTGGAAAGCCAAAATACACACAAGGGGCTCTTTGCAAAATTTCTATTGTTCCACACGTAGCAGAGATTCTTCCTCTAATTCGGTGTTTCTCGGTTAAATTTAAGATGTGTGAATTTCAGTTCCCAGAATTCCCCAGCCAGATGCATGGACTTCAACTCCCAGAATCCCCCAATTAGCAGGTGTGGACTTCAACTCCCAGAATGCCCCAGTCAATGGGTGAACTTCATCACCCAAAATGCCCCAGCCAGATGCATGGACCAACTCCCACAATCCCCCAGCCAGCAGGCCCTTTAGACTTTTTTTTAATTAAAAAGAAACTTCTACAAACTTCCAATTGCTCTGGAGCTGCCAGATTGGGCTGCAGAGAGCGGATTCTGCTCTGCACAGACTTGGAGGGAAAAAAAATATAGAATCACCCAGATTAATGCAATTAGAGAGAAGTTTTCAGGTTGCAACCCAACAGGGGTAGTTCAGGAATAATAATAATAATAATAATAATAATAATAATAATAATAATAATAATAATAATAATAATAATAATAATAGAAGTTTCAGGTGCAAGAAAGAATGGGGTGCATTTATTAATAAACAGGCTGAGTGGACAAAGTCCCTGAATTTTGGATACATCTGAATTTATATCTTCTTATTGTAATTACAGAATTATTTCCCTGGTTGTCATTTCCTTGGGAAAAAAGTTGGATGAGTTATTTGAGTTTTTTTTTTTTTATTGCAAGGGAGTTGTCACTCAATCCATTGCTAGTTTTTTTTTTTTTTTTAAATCTTAGCTGTGACTCCAGGTGAGAGAAAGACAGCGCATTAGGGTGAACCAAGGACATGGTTTGCAATTCTCAAACAGCCCCCCTCAATTTATCTGCATGGACCTCTTGGTGGAAAAGAATGAACTTGAAGACCTGCAATGAACAAAACCTTAAAAGTTCATCTCGGCTTTTTGGGTGAGCTTCTTCGTGGCTTTTTGGGTGAGGTTCTTCGTTGGCCCACGATGGCCTTGTAACCTCGGGAAGGATGGGTCTCAGCGTGAATCACCTGGTGAGTGACGTTCCCCCGGCTTCTGCTGTAGAGGAAGATGAAGGAGAAGCAGACCAGGACAGAACAGAGAAAGGGGACAACGCCGATGATTAAGATGCCCAGCCAGATGCTAGTGTGGAGGAAGAAGAGGGAGGAGATTGCTGTTTTATTGCGTAGACCGAAGTCCTTCCAGACCAGGGACTGGTTGAACAGAGGAACAAGAACTTGAAGAGAAGCTACCATAGAATCATTGCCGGCTGCATTGCTCGCAACACAACGGTACAATCCACTGTCTTCAAGTAGGGCATATAGAATCTTAAGAGTCCCATCAGGAAGGATGGTTGAACGCCCTTTGCCAGTTGAGTCCAAGGTGATGTTTTGAGGGTTCACCCAAGAAATACTGGGTGGTGGATCTCCATCGCTGCTACAAGTCAAGTTGGCCTGCTCTCCTTCATGAACAACCACTTTCTGGAGGGTCTTGTTCTCAATCGTAGACTCCCGGCAAGTAAAGTGATATGCCAGAGCTCTGGAGAAGTCATGGAAGACCTTCTCTCCTTTTTCTGAGCTGGTGGCACAGATGGGCAGCTGAGCCTCAAAGTTCAACCTCTGTCGTCTCTTCAAGATCCAAAGGAGGCGACAGTCACAGGCCAAGGGGTTTTGGTCCAGACGAAGGACTTCTAGGTTCCCCACCGAGTGGAAGACCTTTTCTTCAAGGGTCTGGAGATGGTTGGCTGAGACGTTGAGGAGACGGAAGTGGACAAGGCCTTCAAAAGCATTGGCCTGGATGGTGGCCAGTCGGCCACCCGTAAGGTGGAACTCTTGGAGGCGGGAGAGATCCAGCAACTTCCTTCCATGGATCATTGAGATAGGATTGTAAGAGAGGTCAAGGAAACGCAGATGGACCAGGTGCTTGATGGCCCTATAAGGAACATCATGGAGGTTACATCTGACAATGTACAAGGAAGTGAGGTTTAGGCCAGAAAGACTGTGAGGCTCCAGAATTTTCAAGAAAGGCCACTGGTTGACCTCCAGAACTTTTAAGCGATGGAGTTTCTGAAAGGAATAATTGTGGAGGACCCTGAGGTTGAGGACATTGAGATGAAGCTCCACCAGGTGGTGAAGGTGGGACAGGGCCTCTGTTGGCAGCCTGGTGAAGTTGCATTTTTGCAGAGTGAACCTCCGCAGGTGTTGGAGGCCTCGGAAAGCCTGACCTGAAATCAAGACCAGAGGATTGTCCCTTATGTCCAGGTTCCCAAGACTGAAGAGGTCTTTGAACGTATGATCCAAGAAGATGAGGATCTTGTTGTCCCTCAGGTCAAGAACGGAGAGGTTGGGCAACCCTGTGAAGACCCCATCTGGGACCATCTTCAACTTGTTGCCCGCTAGTCGGAGGGTCATGATCTTCTGAAGGCCGTTGAAGGCCCCCTGTTCAATGTTGGAGATGATGTTGTAGTTCAGGTCCAGCTCTTTTAGGGCTTGGAGACGGGAGAACATGCCCTGATGTAGGGTACGAAGGCTGTTTTGGCTTAAGTCCAAGAATTCTGAATCCTGGGGGATCTTGACGGGCACAGTGGTCAGATTCCGGCTGTTGCAGAAGACCACCTTCTCCTGAACCAAGCATTTGCACTTGAAAGAGCAGCTGTGTCCAGATCCCACCAAGAAGGTCATCCCCAGAAAGACCCAGAACCAAGAGGACGGCAGATCCAGTGAAGAGGGCCTGCTCAACATCTCGAGAACTTCCTGAAACAACAGCTATAACGACACAAAGATGTTGACAGTTAGAAGGCATCAACCAACAGGAAGAAGAAGAAGACAACCTACCGTACTGAAGCTGGATTTTGAAGATCTGGAAAGGAACATTTGTCGTTCAAGATGGATTCCTTTTCACCTTCTTGCCTAAGTAAGCCACACCTGAGAAACCTTTGAGGTCTTAAGAAGAGGGAGCCCACCCATTCCCCAAAGCAACCTGAAGGCAGGACAAGAAACAAAAGGGGCAAACTAATCCAGGGCAGAACCCACCTGGAATTAAGGAACAACTTCCCAAGAGTGACGACAATTCACCAGCGGAATGTCTTGCCACCAGAAGTTGCGGGTGCTGCTCCAACAAAAGACTGGACATCCACTTGTCTGGAATGGCATAGGGTCTCCTACCTGAGCAGGCAGTTGGTCTAGAAGACCTCCGAAGCCCCTTCCAGCTCTATTCTGATTGATGGAAGGCCTACATAACCCCCCCACCATAAACTCCAGAAGAAAAAGCAAGGAAGCCTCTGACAACATTGGACTTCTATCGCTCATCCACGCTCAAAGAAAGCTCCCATATCCCACCCAGCCACTGCAATGCAATTTCTTCTAAGTAACTCCTTGGCAAAGTTCCCACCGGTGCATTAAAACCGAGGCGTCCGTAGCAAAACAAGAGACGAAGAGGCCAAGAAGACAGAGGCTACGGGGCAGCGCGGGGGGCAGGAGATGGAGAAAGAGGGGTGGGGGGTCAGGAGAGTTTGGATGTTCAATGCCAGAAGGCAACATCTAGGGGGCTTGGCGATTCTCAGCACTCCCATGTCCCCATGGACTGAAATTTTGATCCCATAGAAAAGAGGCTAAGCCAAGGTTAACAGAATGACAATCAGAAGGGGCCTCGAAGGTCATCTAGCCCAACCATCTACTCAAGCAGGAGACCCCCATCCCATTCCAGACAAATGGCTGTCCAGTGTCCGGATTCTGGCAGTTACTCCAATTAAATCATGAGCCTCGAGCCGCACTCCCAAAACTAAACAGGATTTATTTGAAGTTAACATTCTACGTCCGGCACTAACCTGGGCGTAGCCAATTCTGAGATACGTAATTGCCTGTCACCCTTGATCCTGCTTTTCCCCCACCCCCCCCCCCTTGGGTATATCATCCAACGAAAAACGTCCATACCCAAGAGTCATCAATCATGCTCTCCAATTAGATTTTTTTCGCGGCAGAAGCTTCAGTCATCTAATCGGTCTTTGAAGAAAATATGAATGGAATGGACTTTCGATTCCACACTGCCGCCTACTCTTTGAAACTGGGTGAAAAGAAAATAATCTGAAGGGTTTTGTGGGGAGCAGGAGAAGGATTTGCAGCTGTTCCTTCCTCTTTGTAGTCCTGTTTGGTCCTCACCCTTTTATGGAGAACAAAATGTGATGCAAAATTGGCACCTCGCACATTTTCAGCTCCCGCAGAGTCTCTGGCTCGGAATTTGAATCTTAATGGGAACATTTAATTAACCTGATGCGGTCAAAGTGGGCCAAGAAGAGGCAGGAAGGGAAAAAGAAGAAAAAAAAGAAGCTTAAATAGGAGATTTTTTTTGGGGGGGGGGGCAAAATCTTGCAATCCCTGCTGGATTTGAACCTGTTGGATTTTAACCCGGTTGAACTCCAACCTTTCGGAACATTTTATCAGATATTTTGAACCTACCTTGCCAGTTTTATGGCTGGGAATAGCTCCAAATTTCAAAGCTTCATAAACTCTGGTATTTTTTTTAAAAAAAAGGGGTGGGGTCTCTTATAGGGGTGGCCTTTAAGTCCCTTGTCTTCCGTCTGGTTGTGGGAATTGACAACCCACAAATATCTGGGGCAGAAGAAACACCAGATGGGAACAAGGCTCAGAGCTGCGTCTTTCCCAAAACTCCTCCAAAAATCTGTGTTTAAAAAAATAAAATAAAATAATATTTTAAAAGAGAGAGTCTCCCCCAGCCAGGTTTGCTATTCTGACTCTTAAAAACCCATTTATTTTTATTTTATAATTTTAGACCGAGCGGAGAGCATTCCTTTGGCACCTTCAGCGCGTGGGCTGAAATCATTATTAGATACTGTAGTTTATTTAAAAAGAAAGGTGGGGAAAAAAAAAAGAGAGATGTGCGTTTGTGTGTTACATTACCCAGCAAAAGGAAACGGGGCTTAAAGTTTCCTTTTATCGTTCAGCTTTCCAAACCGAAATCATGCAGGGTTGTGACAGGGACCCTCGATTCCGCAGAACACAGCCTAGGTCCCCCTTCCTCCATCCAGCTTTCAGGATTCCAAGTTCCTGGATTCGAACCTGGGACTTTTGCCTGCCAGACCCCAATTGAGTTACGTTCACCACGCCGAGCCTGCCCTTAACGCCAACGAGTTCCCATCAAACTTGCGAACTTACCACCGTTTTTTTTTGGGCTCCCCCTCTCCAACCGCTGGTAATTGGAGGGTCAGACTCCCTAGGACATCAAAAGGATCCTGGATTGGAATATTTGGTGCCCTGGGTGGGATGTCCACTCTCCGAAGCCACCTGGGTGGAAAGTTGGAAAAAAATCAACGTGGATCGTGTGAATTCAGCTTGACACCCTGCTTGACACCGTTCTTTTGACAGGATGAGCAAGTGTGCAACACGTTTGCTCGTCCCTCTCTCCTTCCCCGAACGAAATAAAAATGTCCACATTGAAGCATCTTCCTCCTTCCAAAGAGAAGTCGCCCCGAGGCAGGTGCCTCACCTGCAAATAGCCCAGAAATAGCTCCGAAAAGGAACAAACGGCTTACCTGGGGTTGCTCTCACCGCTTACGAGTCCGTCTCCCGTCCTTCCGTCCTCTTTCCTCACTGGCTGTCCTCCCTGCCTTGGGAACATTCGCTTCCCCACTTTGTCATTTGTCTTCTGGGTCTTTTTTTTTTTTTAACTGCTGCTTGGCACACACAGCAGCAAAGCAACAACACACACACACACACACACACACACTCTCACAAACTGAAGCTGCCGCCAATTTTCATTCCGGCAACCCAACGAAAAAAAGCGCTTTGAAATGTATCGATTGGATCGAAGGTGCAAGGTCAAAACTCGGCCTTCTCATTCCCAACTTAGGGGGGGGAAGAGGGGGGGCTTTCCATGCTGGGAAGCCCACGAATGGGGCCCCATTAAAAAAAAATAATCCCTGGAGAAAAAGAGCTGTTGATGGCTACCGTTTCCCTGACCGAGGGGCGAAGGGTTGATAGGCTGTTGTGATGAGCCAAAGAGGCGTGGCACAAAGGCAACCCAGTCAGATGATCCGTAGGAGTCCCTTTATTAGCTCCACCTTTGCCCCCAATGTCCTGGTTACCTTCTGGGCTGGAGAAAAACTCTCCCAGGAACAGCCTTTGGCTGCAGAGAATCAAGTCCAAAACGTGGTCAACAAAAACTCGAACTTAAAGTCCAATGAAGGCAAAATGAGGCAATTAGTCCGGCAGGGCAGGAGAAGGAATTCTATACATGAAGGAACAGCAGTAATTCAACCTGGTTAGGAGGAGGCCAGGAATGCAGATAACCAAAGATACACTCACATTTGCTCCCAGCAGTCGCAGCTCTCAACATGCATCTCTTTTAAACTCTCTTCCCATCTGTGGCTAATGAAGGGAATCAGGGCCCTTTCCTGCCCCATAAGCCACCCAACCCACGTTGCTCCCTTCTCCGTTCCTCCCTGCATTCCCTAGGATGAAGAGGGGGTGGGCCTGGGTCTTCCTCCGAATTCCCTCTCCTTTGCTCTACCTCTCCCCTGCTCTGCCTAGCTGGACTCTGCCCTTCCCCAATTTCCTCCACAGCCACCGGAGCCACACTCCCACTCCCTGTCAGCTGTTCGTCTTCCTCCTCGATTCAGACTCTGACAGGGGCATTTTACAGCTGCAGACCATTAAAAGATGAGTTAATTTTATTTTATAGTCCTGGGCGTGTCATCAGCAAAGGTTGGTCTCAGATTCTTAACCATGGATTTAAGTGTGAAAAACGGATATAAGTCACTTTTTTTCCAGCAACTTACATCCGTTTTTTCAGTTTTTCTATTTCTAACTTTGAACAGTCGCTAAATGAACTCCGTGCCTAGGGAATTATCAAAAAATCATGCTATTTATCCATGGCATGTATATTGGTGCTTGGGAAGACACCTTATCATGGGTCATGTTTTTAGGACGGAAAACCATCCGGTGCTCGATTCCACCTCCTGGCATTTAACAGATACTCTGCCCCTGCACAGGGAGACTCCATTTAACCCTTAAATGCCTTGCTGTTCTGTACTTGCAGAATTCATAGCTCGATAGGTGACCTGAAGCCTTTGAAAATCATGTATGCAACTATTCGACACCTGTATGTAACTACCGTGATATCAAATAAATCCGTTAGATCTGTTTTGTTCTATTCACAATCTAACTCCCATTTCTACAACTGTTTTGTACCATCTTCCCCCTTAATTCAGTATTCAAGATAGGTCTGGGGGCTTCAAGGTTTGTGGGGCAATTCTTTATTTTCCCAATGACCGCACATTTATAATCTGCGTGTCCCTTAAAGTCAAGAAGCATCCATTTCTGAAATTTAATTTGTAGTGATGTCAAGGTGATCACTGAATTCTGACCATCTCAGCAACTTCTTCCAAAGCTCACAAATGGATATCAAAATAATTGAAAGATGGTTTGCCAGAACCATAGATCAGAAAATAGGAACTACCCCTTATGTGGATTTGATCTGTCACCTTTCAAACATTCAGCAGTTACCTTCCCACCTGAAAACTCGTAAAACAATTATCACAGCAATAACAGAAATAAAGAGAGCCAGCCAGCAAATAAAATCCAACCATCGTACCAATATGCACCGTGGTTTAATTAAATTAAAAAGTAGACTAAACGGTTTCCAGCGTACGCTTTCTTAAAGACCAACTTCTCTAGTTTTAAAAATAAAAAATAAAACTTTTTTCAACCGGTATTTACACAGCCTCCCCTCCCTCCCGTTCTTTAAATATTCCAAACCATTAAAAAAAAAAAAAAAACCAAGGAAAAGATTAGAAGAATAGAAGAAAGGGCTCGAGTTAAATCCACGAACATCTGACGCAATGTAGTGGATTTTTCTGTGCAAATGGACAGTGGCGTCATCTCGACAAGTCATGGGCGGAAAAGCTAAGAGTGTCTTAAACTTATTCCTGCAAAGCTGAACCATTTGCAAGGATTTTAAATATCAAACAACATGGATTGTTTTGCACAGGGGTGGCATTCAACCGGTTCGCACCGGTTGATGTGAACCGGTAGCAAGGATTTGGTGTGGGTCGGCAAACTGGTAGTAACTTCTGGCTGGCCACACCCCGACCCAGTCACCTGGTCGCCGCTCGCTTGCTTGCCCCACCCGCCTAATGCTTGCTCACCCCGCCCAGTCACTCCTTAAGGTATTTCTTTATTTTTCCCCTCCCAACAATCAGCTGTTCCTGCGATCAGCTGTGCCGGGATTCCCCTCGCTTACTTACTGCTTCACCCAGGCGGCTTCCCTAAGGCCCTTACCTGCACTGCACCTTCCAGCTGATTTTCGGCTCGTTTGAGGCCTTTTTGGGCCTCCCAGAGGCCTGAGGAAAGCTTCTGCAGGCTTCGCAGGCCGAAAAAATGGGCCCATTTCGTCACTTCCAGTATTTCTGTAAATACAGGAAGGGATGAAATGGGCCTATTTTTCGGCCTGCAAAGGCTTTCTTCAAGCCTCTGGGAGGCTGAAAAAGGCCTCAAGCAGGCCGAAAATCAGCCGGCATGCGCAGTGAAGTAAGTTTGCCTGCGGCTCACATGCCAGCACAAATGGCTCTGCGTGCCACCTGCATGCCATAGGTTCACCATCACGGCTCTATGCGTTTTAAAACAATCCAGGGAACTTTATATTAGCACCGCTGTCTCCGAAGAAAACGGGCGTTGGCTTCGGGGAAATTGCTAATATGGCAAACCCACTGATTGGGTTTCTAAACGGAGGCTGCAAAGCCGCGTCCAAGGTGCAGAGATGTATTCCCCACAAACACACTTTTTTGCACAAATGCAGAAGTTGAAGCTGGTTGGCGAAGTGACAGGGCAAAGAGAAAGAAAGGTGGGGGAAAACAGAGAGGGGTGCCTTTGTTATCAAATACAGACTTAGCAAAATAAAATAAAATCTATCTTAGAGAGCCGCATCTGTCCATCTCTTTCTCTCTCTAGATGCATACATATATATCTATATAAATTTCTTTTGAACTTGGCCGAGTCTCTTGCCGTTAAAATGGCACAAATGAGGTATTTTGGGGGGGGATCGCCCAAGCTGGCAGCGACATCCGATGTTGTCTTCCCGCGAAACCGTCTCCCGGTGGATTTGTCGATGCCGCATAATCCCCCCAGTATTGCTTCTTGCTTCCGCGGCCGCTAACCCTTAAAATGTAAACTGGAGCACTTTGAGGTGGGGATGCTGTTTTTCCTCCAGAATGAAGTGGGACACCCCCACAAGCAATCACCAATTCCTCGTCCTGCCCCGCCCACTTGTTGACTGCTCCCCTCGATCCCAGTCTTCATTTTGTGTCCGGCTTCCAGCGACCGGGTGGCAACACCTGACCTGTCCTCAGCTTGTGTGTGTGTGGGGGGAGGGGGTTACTCTCCTGCGGGCCCCTGGATCAGAGGGTCAGAGTCCGAACTGAAGAGCTCTTTGTACAGCGGTGGGAAAACCGCGTGGACAACCATGGGGTACATCTGGCGAAAGGAGCGGAGCTTCTCCACGTGCTGGGAACAGAGACTTCGCAACTTCCCTTTGGGCGGCAACTGGAAAGAGAAAGCGGGAGAGAATGAGATCATCTCACCTGGTCTGGCTCACCTGGAAGGTGACCCATTGTAGGAGACGACCAGGCTGAGCCCCAGGGTGGGGTGTCAAATGTGTCATAAGTCACGTGTCAACTCCTAAAATATTTCTCTGGTCTTTTTAGAGTTGCCAACAGAAAGGGAGGGGGGATCAGTGTGGCAGCTTGCAAACCGAAAGTGCATTCCATAAATGTTTTCATAGATAGTTTCCACGTGACCAAAGTTTCTGCCGCTCAAAATTCTAACTGGAGAACAATGATTGATGACTCTTGGCTATGGACGTGTCCCATTGGAGAATTATGATACACCCAGGGGGTGGGGAGAAAACCAGGGCCAAGGGTGACAATGAATGATGTGCCTGAGAATCAGCTACACCCAGGCAGCACCAGCATGTCTTCTTCTCATATACCTTCTTTGAGCTTTGAAAATCTGTCTAGAGACTCATGATTTAAATGGGGGTCACTACTGGAGCCCTGACATCACGAATCCCTGCATGCCCACAAGAGATATCTAAGTCCAGCCTATCTTGAATACCTTTCTTATCTCCCGCTCTTTTCCCTTAGCCGTCAGTTGGCCCGATTCTCATAGAGAACTTAAGCTTGCCACAAATCTTTATACTCATTGGAACAGCTTGAATCTCCTTGTCTTTTGGGGGGGGGGGGTGTTGGCTATTCCTGCCAGCAAATCCGATCTAAGCATAGTACACAAAATTGTCCGCTACAACATCTTTCCCGTCAACGACTTCTTCAGCCTCCATCACAATAACACACGGGCAAATAACTGATACAAACTCACGGAAAACCGCTTCAAACTCGATGGCGGAAAATACAACTCCAGCCCTAGAGCGGTCAACGCCTGGAACGCCCTACCCGACTCCGTGATTACAGCCTCAACCCCTCGCAGCTTCAACCTCAAACTGTCTACCGTGGACCTCACCCCATTCCTAAGAAGCCCTTAAAGGGGGCGTGTAGAAGCGCACCAGCATGCCTACCACCCCTGTCTTACTGTCTCCGTTTATCTAATATTTACTCCCTTTGTTCTTGTTTACGTTCATACCTACACTGGTTATCTTGTACATGTTTGACAAGATAAATAAATAAATTGGATGAGCACCAGAAAACAAGACAAGAAACAACGGATGGAAATTAATCAAGGAGAGAAGCAACCCAGAACAACCCAGAAATTTCCGAACAGTGAGAACAATTAACCGGTGGAACAAGTTGCCTTCAGAAGTTGTAGGTGCTTCATAACCAATATTGGACAGCCATTTGTCTGAATGGTTGGACTAGAAGGTCCCTTCCAACTCTGTTCTTTTCCTCCTCTCTTCGAAGCCCTGGCAGGTACACTCACCTTTGCCAAGATGCCTTCCCGGTGGTTTTTCTGCAACATCTGTTTGAAGGCCACTTCAAGGTTGTTCTGCAAGTAGGCCACCTTGCTCTTCTCTTGCAGCCACGGGCGATCTGCGAAAGGAAGAGAGAAAACCTACTGGGGCCTCACTCCATTTGCAGAAGCAAAGCAAGGCTTGGGTGCAGCCCTTTGATTTATTACATTTATATGCTTCCCATGTTCTGGATCAGGTGACTCTTGGCGGCTTGGAGATGATAAAAAGGCAACAACTCCCAGAATTCTGCAGCCAGCATAGCTGGAGTTGAAATCTACAAGTCTTAAAGTTGCCAAGTGTGCAGACCTCTGCTTTTAAAGCTATGCAAATAAAAATCTTCAAACTAGGTAGAACCCCAAAATCGAGGTTTCAAGGCGGCCTGATTTCGCCACGGCTTTCCTGGAGCAGCTGCTTGGCTTTAAGCAAACGCCTGACTTTTTAATTATTCTTTTAAACTTTCTCAGGCCTGCTATTATTAGATGGGGCAGCGACCGAGCCTTTTAATTCGTCTGTTCTTCAGCGATGGTTTAAACCAGGGGTGTCCAACCTTGGCAATTTTAAGACTTGTGAGAGTTGAAGTCCACAAGTCTTAAAATTGCCAAGGTTGGACACCCCTGGTTTAAATGAATGCTTTGATTTGCAGCTGGGTTATAGGATCAGCTGGTCAATCCAACCAGCCCTTTCCAGCTCTTGTGTAAAATCTTTTTGCTTTTTTGTGTGTAAAAAACACAAGACATTTGTAGATACAGTTATGCGGGGGGGGGGGGAGGCAAAGAGCCACCACCCAATTTTGTATTCCCTTTCACTAAAGAATCCACAACATTCCTCAAACCACAGCAAGGAATTGCAAGAGGGCCGGAGTTTAACTCCACAACCAGAAACCTCGGTCTTACTTGCGTTGATCAGGACCAGGGCTGTGAAGAGAGCAATTTCGTTCTCGGAGAAGTGGAGCGAACACAGGCTGTGTGTGAAATCGAAGATGGAGTTGATCAGTTCGTTGCAACCTGAGAAAAGCAAGGCTCATTGTTCACGTCACCCACAAAAGAGGAGGAGGAGCAGGAGACAAAGAAAGAGAAGTAGGAGAAAAGGAAGAGGAGAAGGAAGAAGAGGAGGAAGAGAAGGAGGAGAGAACGGAGGAGACAGAGAAGGACAGAGGAGGAGGAGCAGGAAGAGAAAAGGATGAAGATAGGATGAGGAGGAGGGAGAGAAGAAGAGAAGGAAGAGGAGGAAGATAGGACAAGGAGGAGGAAGAGAAGGAGGAGAAGGAGGAGGAGGAAGATAGGATGAGGATAAGAAAGAGGAGATAGAGAAGGAAAAAGAGAAGAGGAAGAAGAGGAGGAAGAGGAGGAGGAGAGAAGGATGAAGAGGAGAAGGAGAAAAGGAGGAAGATAGGATGAGGAGGTGGAAGAGAAGAAGGAAGAGGAGGAAGATAGGACGAGGAGAAGGAAGAGAAGAAGGAGAAGGAAGAGGAGGACAATAGGATGACGAGGAGAAAGGAAGAGACAGAGAAGGAAAAAGAGAAGAGGAAGAAGAGGAGAAGGAAGAAGATGGGATGAGGAGGAGAAAGAGCAGGAGGAAGGATATAACAATTTAACGTTCCCCTTTGGGGAAGTTAGATGTATCTTGGAAATCAACTCCTGGAGTTGCAACCACCTTTTGTGGTCAGTTGACATTCCTCAAACCCACCCAAGTAGCAGGCCTCCACCCTGCCACCAAAACATCTTGCAAGACCCCTTTCTACGCCCTACTTTAGACCCCGGCCCGAATCTAGAGGGGATTCCACCTTTCTTGATGCAAGAGGTAGAAGGACGGTCTCGTACCCAGAGATTTGAAGACTTCTGGGCCAGCATATTTGCCCTCAAAGAATACTGTCCGGTTCTCGGAATTGAAGGCTCGGCACATCCTCACCAGAACGACCTCCATGGCACCTGAAGCGAGGGGAGAAGATAATGTTAGCACGGCCAACCCCTCCTTTTTTGGGGGGGGGGAGATCCTCAGCTCAGACCAAAACGGGTACATTCTGCACCCCTCTACCGCTGTCCTGGTCTCTCCTGTCTTTGGGACAGGAACAATTTTAGGAATTTTCTCACACTTCTAATCCAGTCCATCAGAAGTTCCCTAGTTGGGTTACTAAACAACAACACGGGAGGGGAGAAGGAAATTGAAAACGTGAAGTGCAAAGCCAAACGCAACGACGTAGGAAAAAAAGAGCAAACATGTGAATCTCACGACGCCCGGCATAAAGGCGGCCCTTAAAAAAAAATATCACACAATAAAAGGAAGTATCGTTTGTTCTCCACAAGGAGCTCTTGTGTGAATTGTGTGTGGCATCGCACCCGAGGTGGGATTCAGCCAGTTTGCACTGGTTCTGAAGAACCGGTAGCGGAAATGTTGAGTAGTTCGGAGAACCGGCCAATCCCGCCTCTGACTGGCCCCACCAACCCCATCTCTCCTCCGCCTCCCATTGAGTCCCAGCTGATCGGCTGGGTCTTCTTGTGTTGCCCTGCACAGGAGAATGGAACTGGAAAGCAGGTTAGTGGGGTGGGGAGGGAAACGGGGATTTTGCAGTTTCCTTCCCCTGCCACGCCCACCAAGTCTCGCCATGCCCACCAAGCCACGCCCACAGAACCGGTAGTAAAAAAAAAATGGAATCCCACCACTGCATCTCACCCGTTACCTGCTTTGAGAAGCACAATCTGGTCATTCTGGCAGAGGTCCATGAAGGCCCCCATTCGCTTGGCGAACTCCACCACGTACTGGATGGCTTCCGTGATGCGGCAGGCGCAACGTTCCCACATCTCCTCCATAGTCTAATGGGACAGAAGGAGGGAGGGAGAGATAGAGAGAGATGATGATGAAGAAGAAGTTTGGGTGGATTGTGAGAAAACAGAAGGGAGTAAAAGATCCAGAGGAACTAGCATTGAAGACGTTCCCTAGTTGGGTAATGAAATGTCTACAAGAAAACAACCAAGTTCAGAGAGCACCAAGGACCCCACAGAGGTCGTCTCCTCCTCCACTTCCTCCCTGCAAATCCCACTCCCTTCTACCGTTGATGTTGCTATCTAACTTCTTAGTGAAACATCTGCAAGAAAGCCACAGCTCAGAGAGCACCAGGGACCCCACATTCCTCCTTTTCTTCTTCCTCCTCCTCCTAAATCCCTCTCCCCTCTACCATTGATGATGTTACCCAGCTGGGTCATGAAACATCTGCAAGAAAACCCACCCAGCTCAGAGAGCACCAAGGACCCCCCACACTCCTCCTCCTCCTCCAACAGAACTTTAAGTTGGGGTCTTCCTCTCTGAGAGTGGGTGCCCCCCCCATCTTACCTTCTTCTGGTAGCTCCCAATTTCTTCTCGGGTGAAGGTCTCCCACCTCAGCAACTGGAGGTCTTCCAAGCGGAGTTGACAGGTCTCCCGGTAGGACTTGAGGACATTCTGGGTCAAGTGCTCTGCAGGAGAAGACAACAAGGTGGTCCCGTGTTAGCAATCAGAACCCCACAGAAGCTGCTTTGGGATCTAGTCTCAGCTGCCTTGACTTCTATTGCTTTCCCTCAGCCTGATTTTGAGACGTGGGCTAAAAGCCCCTTGGACGAGAAGACGTCCAACGTCTCTTCCAACTCTTGCTATTCTGCTGAAGACTCCCATCATCCGCTGAACACTTCTATTTCTTCCAGCCTTTCTGGAAACCTCCGTTCACTCACCAATCTCCATCAGCGAAGGGTGTGGGCACTCCAAGAAGCTGGTGAAGCTCGGGTTGGTGTAGAGGTCAAGGGTCTCGCTGGCTGTTGTCCGTTCTGCTCGGCTGACATTGGGGGACAAGAGGTCTGGCAATGCCTGTGTCTCCAAAGAATAATAGACGCTGGTCCTGGGTTCTACCTTGATGACTCCAGGACCGTACCCTTTTTTGAAGAGGTCCTGCTGTTCTCCACCCAGGAGGCTCTGCGCCTTGGGGAGTTCGTTAGAGTAGGCCAAGCCCGCCGTCTGATCCGGAGACTGGCTAAGGCGGGTCTGTCCAGTGAGGAGAGCAGGGGAGCCTTCTCGGAGATCTGGAGAAGGGTCCAGCTTGAGTTGACCATCGGCCATGCCCAAGGAGAAGGTGGAACTCTCTCCGCCTTGATGTTGTTGCTGTTGCAGCTGTTTCTGGACTTCGGCATGGAGGCTGTCTCGTTGCTTCTTGGACATCCGGCCAAATTTGACAGCTGGAAGAGAAAACAAATTAAAGATAAAAATAATGCAGGACATGAGCAACTTGGTTTATTCAGTAGTCGCTTGAAGCTCCTCAACATCTCCAACCTGGTTCTTCTACCCCCTCGTCCTGTTTTGTGGTGTGTCACCACCAAAGTGAGGCAAGGGACAGAGGGAACATCTCCCAACACAAAATCTTATGAGACTTGGGAACTATTAAGATACTTAATTTAGTAGCTGGAACAATAAATGGGCCAGAACACACAGTTGTGGTTGATTGATTGGAGGGCTCCTGCATGAGGAAATCTATGTTATGATTGGTTGCTCTGGGTGTAAAAGGGGGAGTTTTCTTTTTCCCCGCTTTTTTCTTCTGTGTTTATTGCTGTTTGATTTACCTCATGTGATTTACCTCATGTGATTTATCTCACGGGATTTACCTCACGGGATTTACCTCACACAATTTACTTCATGTGATTTACCTCATAATGTTAGTGTGTTCCTGACTATCTTGTCTGCTGTTTAAATATATTTAAAATGTTTAAACATACTTATTTACATAAAATTACAAGTTCGTGTCAATGTCTCTAATTTCATTTGGACACCAGTTGCGCAATTCCCTGACAGGAACCCTCCCTGAGGTGCACTTCAACATGGGTCTTACCATCACGGGACATGCCGAGGCTAAGACATTTCTGCAGGCGACAGTGTTGGCAGCGGTTGCGGCTGGTGCGGTCGATCAGACAGTTTTGTTGCCGAGTACAAGAATAGGTCACGTTCCCTTGCTGGCTGCGTCGGAAGAAGCCCTGGAAAGGAAAGCAAGAAGATGAACTGAGAAGATGGACCTTTGGTAGCTTCACTGGTGGCCTCCAAGACTTTGTGAAGCCCAACAGTTCAAGGGTCCCATCAGCGAAGAGAGCCAAAATTGGTTCAGTAGAAATTTATGGGCATCTGCTTCCAGAAAAGGGAAAACCACCCCCAACCCCCACCCTCTGCAAGGAAGAGGAAACAATTATGGCCGACGGGTCTCAGGCCAACACCCAAGATCCCAGCGATTGATAGAGACCGTTCCCCACCTTGCATCCTTCACAAGTGATGACCCCGTAGTGGATCCCGGAAGATTTGTCTCCGCAGATCTTGCAGGGGATCACTTCAATCTGGGCTGTGTGGGGAAAAGAAGACAAGAAGAGGTGAAACTCTTGAGAGAAGCACGTGTGAATCGGTGGGGGGAACCAGCAAGTGGACAAGCCATGTTCTTGAGGGATCAAACCAAGATCCGCAGATGGCCCTTTTTCTTAACTGTTGGAAAAAGTCAACTACCGACATTAGACAGTAGTTCTCAAGCTCTTAGCCGAAAGACCTTGCAGTGTTCATCACAGTCCACCAGAGGGCAGCCTCACCCCACATTTGATGTTACCGCCTTTCACAAGACCAAAAAGAAAACACTTGGGAGCAAATAGTCCTTTTAACTAACATCCTTCTCTTGCCAAGGGATGCATCCCAGCAAAAATTGTGCGTAAATCAGAGGTAGAGCCTGTGGAGGGAGGCAGCAGATCTACAATCCACGCCAGGAAGAGGGAAGGGCAGTGTAGCTACTCCTTGACTTACAACAGTTCATTTAATGACCATTCAAAATTACAACGGCACTGAAAGAAAGTGACTTATGACCAGTTTTCACACTTACGACTGTTGCAGCACCCCTGAGGTCCCTTAAACAAACTTAAACAATCCGATGACTAACTTTGCTTAACTGTGGCAAGCAAGGTCGTAACATGGAGACAAAACACACTCAGCAAATGTCTCACTTAGCAACGGAAAATGTTGGGCCCAACTGTGTGGTCGTAAGTCGAGGAGTACAACTGGTACAGAACCTGGATGGAAAATCCTCTCCCTCCCACCAGCATTTGGCTCTGATCTGTACTGCCTGCTATTTGGAAAACAGACCGAGGAGCCCACCTCGCAAGGCCGTTGTGCAATTTAGCAGCAGAAACCCCCACAACTTCAGGTGGCCAGCCGTTCCACCAGTTAATTGTTCTAACTACTAATTAGTAACACGGTCATGAAGTGAATCCGGCTTCCCATGGACTGTGGTTGTCAGAAGGTCACAAAAGGGGACCATGTGACCCCCCAGGAGCCTGCAATCATCGTAAACACGAGTCAGTTGCTGAGCGTCTGAATTCCGATCGCGGGACCGTTGAGGTTGCACGAGAGGAAAAACGGCCACGAGTTCCTTTTTTCCCCCCCCGGTAGCCGTGGTGGCGTCCCGACGGTCACTCAGCGAGCCGCTGTAACTCGAGGACAACCCACGAGCGCCCCAATCTTCCTTCCTCACCGTCTCAACACGCCGCTATTGTCTCCCTCCGCTCTCTCTCTCTCCCTCGTAGTGACAAAATAACAAGCGGAAAGACAAAAAAAAAAAAGAGAGAGAGAGAGAGAGAAGGTATCGCAAAAACCACAACGACCAGATATATTTTCTTCCCTTCGACTTCAAAAGCTGCTACTGGTAAGCCGAGCCTCGGGAGTTGAGTTGAGTCAGCTTTTCAGTTACTCAGTTGGTCCTCCTTGATGGAGCTGCCAGTAAGAAGTTACTCTCACTTTTAGCCAAAATAAAAAAAATAAGAAAATAAAAATTGGGTCCTGCC